TTATTTATTTTTGAGACAAAGAGAGAGCAGACTGCAAGCAGGGGGAGGGGCAGAGAGAGAGGAAGACACAAGATCGGAAGCACGCTCCAGGCTCTGAGCTGCCAGCACAGAGCCCAACGTGGGGCTCGAACGTATGAACTGTGAGATCATGACCTGAGCTGAAGTCGGTGGGTCATCCAACTGAGCCACCCAGGTGTCCCAAAGAGGGAACAGATTTGAACAGACACTTCATCAAACAGGATATGAGGTTAGCAAATAAGCGCATGAAAGGATGTTCCATATCAGAAGTCATTAGGGAAATTAAAATAAAACCATGATGGGATAACACCTATTAGAATGGCTAAAATAAAAATTACTGGAAATACCAAGAGCTGTTGAAGATGGGGAACAAGTGGAACTCTCATTACACAGCTAGTTCAGATATAAAACGGTTACAGCTACTCTGGAAAATGGTTTGGCAGTTTCTTATATAGTTCAACATACATTTACCACATGACCCAGTGATCCCACTTCAGGCTACACTACTGAGCAAGAAAAAAGGAATGAACAACTTTAATTAATCTCCAAGGCCTTAAGCTGAGTAGCGAAGTCAGTCTCAAAGGTGACATACTATGTGACTCCATGCATGACATTCTAGAAAAGAACAAAAAAAAAAAAATACAGGAACAGAGAAAGATCAGTGGTTACCAGGGATTGGGGGTGGAAGAAGTCTGGCTGCAAAGGGGCAGGAGGGAATTCTTTGAGGGTGCTGAACTGTTCTGTATCCTGTCAGTGGTGGTGGTTACAAAAATCTATGCATGTGTTAAAACTCTTAAGATTGTACCAGAAAATAAATTTTACTGTATGTACATTTAAAATAATTTTTAAAAAGAAAAACTGTCATCAACAGTAATGATACCTTCTATTTCCCCATCTAAGGGAGGAACATCATCTCTCATGGAAAAATCCATAGCTGTCCCTGGTATGTCCATCAAGTCTTCATCACTGGAGCTGCTCCGGAAGCTATTGAAACTCCCCTGCTGAAAGCCTCTGTTACCCATGGCCCCTGTGCAGAAAGAAAAACAAGAGGCTCATTACAATGACCTTCAAGCTTATCTTTTTTTTTCATTGTGGCAACTACACATAAAATTTATCATTTCAACCATTTGAAACTAGACAATTCAGTAGCTTCATTTACAATGTTTTGCAATTATCACTCTATTTCCAGAAATTTTTCATCATCACAAACAGAAACTCTGTACCCAGTAAATATAACTCCCTCCTAACCCCCAACCCCTTACAATTGCTATTCTCTTTCTGTCTCGATGATCTGCCAATTCCAGGTATTTCATATAATCATATATAAATTGTGGCTTTTTGTGTCTGGCTTCTTTCACTTATAATGTTTTGAAGGCTCATCCATGTTCTGGCATGTATCAGTACTTTATTTCATTTTCAGACTGAATAATACCATCGTATGGATATACCATATTTTGTTTATCCATTATTCAGTTGATGGACATTTAGTTTCCACCTTTTGCGTTACTTCTTTTTATTTCTTTTATTTTAATTTTTTTTTTTAATTTACATCCAAATTAGTTAGCATATAGTGCAACAATGATTTCAGGAGTAGATTCCTTAGTGCCCCTTACCCATTTAGCCTATCCCTCAACCCTTCCAGTAACCCTGTTTGTTCTCCATATTTACGAGTATCTTATGTTTTGTCCCCCTCCCTGTTTTTATATTGTTTCCGTTCCCTTACATTCATCTGTTTTGTCTCTTAAAGTCCTCATATGA